TGATGTTCTGATCCATGTTTTTTGGGGGATGCCAAGTTGATTATAGTTGATTAATACAGTATAAGATAAATGGCCTTGAATGGTAACTTTCACTTTCTGTACATAAAACCATACTGTAATTGTTGTTCTTAAAAGTCAATTTGTTCTTATCTGTTGCCAGGAGTTTTTGGAGCGTAAAATTGTGGAGGATGTTACTGTTGATAACAGAATGTATGAAAGGCAAACTTTGTATATGAACTTCCTCAGAGCATGGTAGAGAACTCTGAGCAATTACCTGTGGACTCTAATTACTTGAAGTTCATCTCATCTATAGATTTCACTGATATATTGCCATATAAATATGCTGATGAAACTAGAAGGCATCTGGTGGAAAACTGTATACAGTAAGAGGTTTGGGGTGGAATAGGTAGTGTTTGAAAGCACTCATTGAACAGCACAGGCCCATTTCCTGAAGAATGAGCATCTGACAGAAACTGTTCTCCCTTTCTTATCTGATGAGCTTGTTTTCAGGGTACACTTAAGCAGCTTTGTCAGTGGGTTAGCACTGCCATCCCTTCAATGATATTTGCAAGCTTAAAATAGCTGCTCCTAAGGTGCTTCTGAAATGAAATTTCTGAAAAGAAAATGAAAAGCTAAATACACTCTGTGAGACTCCAAAGAACAAGGCTTAAATAAGCTGCATGAATGTGAAGATTTTCTCGTGCCCATTTATTCTGTCAAAATTATCAAAAATATTTATTTTTAGAGGTCAGCTGTGTGAAAACTGTAGCGTGTTTTTTTCCCTTCAGTGCTTGAGTTAGGAAGCAGAGTAACACTTTTTTTACCATACATGTTGATGATTGAATGGTTAATACACCAGCATGATTTTTCATCTTCTCTGAACGTCAGCAACACAAAAAGTAAGCTACTAATCATTTGGATAAAGTGGATTCATAAACTTGGGTTATGTACTGTATATCTTCATTCAGAAACTGTGTCTTCTACTAATCTTAATTATTCCTCCTACAGTTTTAAATCACAAGTGGCTGTTATTAAATTTATTTTCCTTTATGGGTTATGTGGTAAAGATGCTGATTCAAAATGAAATTGAACATGGATAAATGTAGTGCTGTCTGCGATACTCCATGATACATCCTAAGATGGTTAGTCTCTGGCACCATCTTGATATTGAGCTTTGAAAAGGAGAACAGCCACAGTCAGCTGGTGAGAACTAGCACAGAGAATTCGTGTTAGAAAATGAAAAGCTTTCTAATGGTTTCCAGCTTCTTCTAGAACATACCTAATGAGTCATTGGAAAAAAGCAAAGTGTAGGGCAATCCATACATGTGATATTTTTTTCATGTACCTGATTTGCATCTGTAAAAGTCTACAAAGCTGAAAATCATAATCTTCTGTAGCTGCAGTAACCCATTGTGAAGAGGGCTACCATCATCAGTAGAAGAGGTGGTGTTAAGGGATTAATCATGTCTTTATAGCATATTACACCCACAGTATGCCAAGTTAAGAGTGGAGAAATCTAGATTCCATGGGCACTGAAGCTCATTAACACTATTGAGATGAGTCTTGTCATCAAGAAAAGAAAATGTGGCTACTGCTACACTGATAGCTTTCATTTATTATGACATTTATGGACATTTTCTGTTCTCACCTTTTGGGACCCATCATATTTAATGTTTTTTGATGAAGTGGATGAGGGAATTGAATGCATCCTCAGTAAGTCTGCAGGTATCACCAAGTGGGGAGGAAGCGTAGGTTTGTCTGAGTACAGAAGGGCCCTACAGAAAGATTTGGACAGGCTGGATCAATGGACTAAGGTCAATTGTATGAGCTTCAACAAGACCAAATGCCAGGCCCTGGACTCTGGTCCCAACAACCCCATGCATCACTGGCTTGAAGGAGAGTGGCTGGAAGGCTGTGTGGAGGGGAAGAACCTGCTGGTGTTGGTTGATGCTCGGCTGAACATGAGCAGTGTACCTAGGTGGCCAAGAAGGATAACAGTGTCCTGGCTTGTGTGCCAGCAGAAGCAGGAAGGTAGTATAGAGAATAAAAAAAGTCTAAGAACACTGAGATTATGTTAATGTGGAAATAGAAAAGACTTGAACTTCACCACTGCTCCCAGGAGGGCTTTTTCTCTGAAGTGTGCACTAGTGCTGGATTGTGCAAAGCGGTATTTTACCTAGATGGAGCAACAGCCTACCCTGAAAGGTTGAAAAACAGAAACTACAGACCAAATGGCTGGAGAAAGTAGCAGAGGTAAGAAAAAAGAGTAGAGACAGAAGGTTAGCAGCCAAATGGGTGAGCTGGCATCATCTTTTCTGGTGATAGATGTTCTGAGAGGCAGAGACTGTAGGAAACACCGCCTAACCTCAAACTGATACAGAAGAAAGACAAATATGTATATAGCTTTATCAAGATATATTCTCTCAGTTATACTTGTGTAATATGGTGGATTTACAGGCCTCCTGGAAGGCCAAAATGGGCTGCTGTTTGCCTTTGAAAGAAGATGTTGCCATTTCCCTCCTTTGATCAGTTCATAAAAGCAAATCAAGTCAAGTGATCAATAAAGAATTAATGTAGAAAATGGAAGTAAAGAAGACTATGTCCTGATGAAGGATGACCATGCTTAGAGGGTGGGACATAAATTAACCTGCTCTCAAAGAGGTTTAATTGATCTTAGATAAAAGGCTAAGAAGTGATGTGGAGCTGTTGAAGGGTCTGGAGGAGGGCCATGTAGGTGATCAGCGAACTGGAGCACCTCTCCTTGAAGAAAGGCTGAGGGAGTTGGGCTTGTTCAGCTTGGAGAAAAGAAGGCTACAGGGAGACCTCGTTGCAGCCTTCCAGTACATGAAGGAAACTTATGAACAGGAGTTTATACTTCAAACTAAAAGAGGCATTAAACTAAAAGAGGTGAAATTTTGTTTAGATGTTAGGAAGAAAATTTTTACTCAGAGGGCAGTGAGGCACTGGCACAGGCTGCCCAGAGAAGCTGTGGATGCCCCATCGCTGGAGGTGTTCAAGGGCTGGACTTGTTGGGTTCCTGATCAACCTGATCCGGTGCATGGCAACACTGCCCATAGCAGGGGGTTGGAACTAGATGGTCTTTAAGATCCCTTCCAACCTAAGCCATCCTATGACTCTTTGATTCCGTTGTTTGTTTGTTTGTTTGTTTAGTAGTTGGGATCTAAAACAGAGGTTATACTGAATCCTTCTGGGAACAATAAGTTCTTAATATGAATGTTAAAATACGTGAATTACATCTAAGTTTATTATAATTTTTTTTTTTTTTGTAATTTAGATGTTTTTATGTGATGAATTTTATGGGATTGTCAAATTATTAACATATGAAAACTTATAAGCTGATTTTGATTTTCTTAATAAACGATCATCCTTCTGAGATGTTATACACACATATGTACAGCATACTGTATTATGTGTTATAAAACACAAAATTTGTAGTCAGGCAAGACTTATACTTGCAGTCATAAGCAAGGAGAGCTAGACAATTGCTATGCTATAAAATCACTCTATGAGGGATTATAAAAAGCTTTTGTTTAGCTATTAGGAGTAGATAATTTCTGTTTAAGGCTAAATTTATTGGATAACTGTTCTGTCCTATTGCTAAACTATTCTAACGTTATCAGTGATGACAGAAAGACCTGTTTAATTGGCAGTGTGACTTAGCTGCTGTGTTACATCTAGGCAGTCACTTACAGTTCTTAACTAACACTCAAGTCTTTGGGAGAGTCAATGACTTAATAATATTACTGACTAACAGCAAAAAATGCATCAGAAAATGTCAAATATAAAAATCAATTGTTTGCAATTCAGGTAATTGTCTGAATCATTATTGCCCCTATCGTTTCTCCTTCTAGAAAAGTGTGCTTTTAAGTCTGTAGCTAAATATACTAAACATGTATCAATGAAACATGAGCGAAGCTCTCACAGTTTGACGCTATTTAGTTTTCAGGAAATGTATGTTAAGCTTTAGTAGAAGCAAAAACATGTATTGAATTTACTATTGGTAAAATGCTGCAGTACATAAGGTAGTAGAAATAGTTTTATTCCTATTTGTTGTTTTTTTTTTTTTCCCCAAAGCTGTTTGAGTTTTAGATTCTCTCTCTCTCATCTTGCCCTTATAAATAGACTTCAGAGCACATTTGATATAAGTTTCTTTCTCTTCTGTACATAACTAAGAGAAGTGTCAGAATCAATTCAAGTTTTGGTGAATGCTTATAAATTATTGCTCAGTTCCTGGTAGCAAACTGCTTTTATCTAATTACTCATTTTATTTTAAAAATATCTGAGTCAATAAAAGCAATCATGGTAAAACGTGCAGACATTTTATAGTATATAGGTTGTTCTGAAAGCATGCCTCCTATTTATTTCCATGGAAACTACAACAGAGCACAATAACACCATTTGATAGAGAAAATTCTCAGCTATGAAAACACTACTTCTCAACATAGTCACTACCATTAGCCAATTTGCATGGATGAGCTGATCAAGATGCTCTTCATTTTGTGGCGTGGCAGCTGTGCATGTTCACCCAGAATGTGAATTGTCTTTCACGTTGCTGTCACCAGTGTTGAAACTCACTGCCTCACTGTGCTAATATCCACTGTTTGGTCTCCTTAAATGTTCAGCAAGTGTAGATGAATGTCAGTGGGTGTCACTTTTTCTGCATGGAGGAATTTAATTATACCCCTTGCTTCACATGCCCTTTTATGTCAGAGTGCCCCTCTACTGACATCTATCTTATGGCAACAGAATTTAATGGAATATTGTTGGGAAGGTTCAACCTCTACTGCTGTTCCACCAACATCTGCCTCTGATGTCAGGAGACAATAGGAGGCATTTTGGAGCAGCCCTTATATTTGAAAGATAGATCAGACTCTCCATGTAGGAAAAAAAAATTTCTTATATTATGGTCTCTGTATTGGCAGAGGTCCCCAGGGACTTTCTCAGCTGACTGTGTGCTAACTTCTTTCTGTCACAGGATATGTGGAAATGATCCATCCAGGAAGATAATGCCACCCCAGCCCTGCACAAGAAGCCTATGTTGTGAGCACAGAGGTGAGTGTTCACTTGCTGTTACCACTAATATGAGGCACTTAGGCTGGTAATTTGTAACTCAGTATTTGTAAGTGAGGACGTGATCTGAGTCTGCCATTTTATTGGTATGGGGGAAGATCTCTCTGTACTGCTACCTCATTTTGTGTGCCTAAACTGCCATAGGAAATTCTGGACAAAGGCAGAGGTGCAGGTCTCAGCTCTGTTTTAAACATATGAGGTCCATAAGATGTGGAAAACACAAGTGTGTGGAGCATGCAGCAAGCAGGGCCATGTCTGTAATTGATGCCTGGGTGCTTGTTCTTGACTGTGGCTGAGAGCAGCAGATGAGCAAGAAAACCTGGATCTGTTCCCACTGTACAGATTTTCATTGAGATGGGACCATACAGGAAAGGGGATAAAAACCGCCATCAGTTTTATTTTCTTCAAATAGAAGCTTGCTGGAGATGCTTAGTGTAGTTTTGCGCTGTTTGAGGTGGGAGTGGACTGTTTGCTCATCAGCTGCGAACTCCATAAAGCTATCTTTCTGATGCAGGAATAAAATGGAAGCTTTGCCGTGCTTGACAGCAGTGCTTGCAGATGGCCTGACTAGCAGTGGGGATGCAGGGTGGGTTGGTGAACATAAAGGCAAAAGTCCATTATCTCAACATCACTTGGCAATAAGTCCTTTTAGTAACTGTAAACAACACCTATGAAGTGCATAAAAACTACATGTTTGTATCTCCTTAGTTCAGAGGCTATCTCAGAAAAGAAATGAAGTTCTTTCTGCATAGGAGAAGTTTGCCTTTCTGTATGGAGGGATGAAAAGAGTGAATCTGTACACTGTTCTATAAATTTTGCCTTCAAAATGAGTCACTTGAAAAATCTGTATTTTTGTCAAAGAAACTCACTTTTTATGAGTGGATTATATTACTCTGTGGTTTGTTACACTAGGCTTGAGGGTTATATACTTCTCTGTTGGAAGACTTCCTTAGCTTTTGTATCTCTGAGCCTTACATACTTTTGCAGTGTCATTTCCAAAATGCATGTTGGTCTTTCTTCTTTAATCTATTCTTTCAAGACCCATTTTGGTCTACAGAACTCTTAGTTTCAAACTATAAGATTTAGACTTTAGAGATTCAGAAAAAGTCTTTTTACAACAGAGTGGTGAGGCAGTGAAACAAGTTGCCTAGAGAGGTCATGGATGCTCCATCCCTGGACATATTCTAGGTCTGGTTGAGTGGGGTTCTGAGCAGCCTGATCTAGCTGTAAGTGTCCCTGTTCATTGTGGAAGGGGTTGGAATAAATGATCTTGAAAGGACCCTTCCAGCTCAAATGATTCTGTGGTAATCTAAATTAACTAGAAGGAATTGGCAATTCAGCTTTTCTAAAACTAACGTCCTGAGGTTTTTTTCCATTAGCTTGATTACTGATAAATGAAAGCAGATGCCTGTTAGCATCTTTTAGTTATTACTCTGCTAGGGTCTAAATTCTTTCATCATGTCTTTTAATCTTAACACATGCCTGATAATTTGGGTTAGCCAGAATTTACTTAATAATTGTGAAACTAAGACTGGAGTCCTCAAGCTCCAGACTGTGAGATTTTTATGATGGACCATTGAATACGAATACTTGATTTTGGAGGACTGAGTTTCAGATGATTTAATTAAGTTTGATTTTTGTGACCTTAAAATCACTGTTATGAAATTGAGCTTTTGTAGGTAACGAGGACGGATGCCTTGCAGCTCAGGTTATTTTGGTCACCTTTCAGCAGATGTGGGCAGGTCAGAGCAAAAGCTCCTTTCACTACAAAGCTGCTCTAGGTGTACCTACTTCTTTGCACAAAGAATTTTGTTCTGAGCCACGACACACTTGGCTTTCAGAAGCATTAAACTCATGCCTGCTCAGCTCTGTGAATCAATGTAATTATTCTTATGCCGCAGTGGCCATTAAATCTCTGTTACCTACAGCTAACCTGATTTCTGAACGGGGGATTTAATGTTGGCATTTAATGGATATCCTGGCTATCCTATTCAGGGCACTGCATGCTTTCCTCCACCTGGAAAACATGAGGTAATACCTTATCTGAAACCCTTGTTACAGCCAGGTGAGATCAGACTCCTTTCTTTATCCTGCCTGGAAACTGTTCGGTGCCTCTAGGGAAGGGATTATGGAAATCTGCAGTGGATTTGAGGCAGTGATTCTTTAGTATGGGATAATGAATTCAGAGGCATGAACTGCCTGGATGGAAAGAAAGCAAATTCAAAAACCTTCCAAATTCATTCTGTTATGCACTGGTGGAGAGCCATGGGGAAAACCACCACAACAAGGTGAAGCAACAGCTTGGTTTCAGAACTAAAATGGGAGGCTGTGGAGGGTAAGTGGCTGCAGCCAATCTATCCCTGCCTGAAGACTGGATGCTGCCAGAACTGCTCTCATTGTGGAGAGGAAGAAGATCCATGAGCCTGTGCCAGAGGAATGGGTAGGAAAAATCGGGGAGAAAAAAAATTGCAGACAAAAAGGCAACAAAACAGATGGGCTCCTGGCCAGGGTCTCTGAGGTAAATGGCACTGTTGGTTGTAACAGCTGCAACTGCAAATCCAGGAGACAACAGGGGTAGCTGCCAGTTGTTTAAAGATTGCTACTAGCTATTGAGCCCTGACCACATCTTCTCCTCTGCAGAGGAAAGAAAGCTTGAAAGAAAGCTTCTTGCTACGACTCCTTTACCTTCTCTTCATCATTCTATGGTAAAGATGCAATTTTGCTGCCAGAATTGTCAAGCTTCTGAATGCCAGCAGAGTCTCATCCTGCAATAAGCTCCTTAAATCTTGATAGATTTGCTGCTTCCTCTCTTCATTTTTTTTCTAAAGCAGGTAAAATGTTCACACTCCTGCATCTGACTCTGGAGGCAGGTGATCTTCTCAATGCTACCTCAGCAGAGTGATTGTGACTCCTCCGGTGTACTGGGGAGAGAGAAGTGGCCTTATATGATTGTAGAATGATAGAGCTATTAAGGATGAAAAAGATCTCTAAGATCATCTAGTCCAACTGTCTGCCCACAAATATTGCTTGCTAAAATATGTCCTTGTGTACCACATCTACATGTTTCTTGAACACTTCCAGGAACAATGACTCCACCACCTCCCTGTGCAGCAGGACCTGATGCTTGGTCTTGTTGAACTTTGTCCCGTTGGCCTCATCCCATTAATCCAGTCTATCCAGCTCCTTCGATATGGCCTTCCTGCCTTCTGGCAAATGCACACCATGTCCTTTGCAAACTCAGTGAGGATGCGCTCAATTCCCTCATCCAGATCATCAATAAAAATATTAACCAGACCTGGACCCAATACTGACCCCTGGGGGACACCACTCGTGACTGGTCTCCAGCTCAGTTTAACTCCATTCAGCACCTCTCTGGGTCTGGCTGTCTAGCCAGTTCTCTACCCAGCTAACAGTGTACTTGTCCAAGCCGTAGGCTTCCAGGTTCTTCAGGAGAATAGTGTATGAGACAGTGTCAAAGGCTTTGCTGAAGTCTAGGTAGACTTACGTCAACAGCCTTTCCCTTGTCCACCAGGTAAGTCACCTGATCATAGAAGATGATGAGACTGGTCAGGCAGGACCTGCCTTTCATGAACCCTGCTGGCTGGGCCTGATCACCTGGCTGTCCTGCGCTTGCTTCGTCTCTTCTACGTTGAGAAGTGCTTCCCACTCCATTGCTTGCTCCATTTTCTTCCTGAATGCAGCCAACGCTGCAGAGCTGTCCTTTGAAATCTCTGCTGTCCTCACCTCATTCTCTGTTGCTCCTGCACTCCAGTTGCCCTAGCAAACATGCCCCTTGCAAGAGTTCAGCCTGCTAAAGCTGTACTCCTCTGAGACAGAAAGCACAGCTTTATGCCCGCTCTTTCCTGTGCAAATAAATTTGTCTTCAGCCTCTGGTAACCCTCTTCCCATAGGAATGGTTTATTTTTATTCAAAGCTGAAAATTGGAGTGAAATCACCAGCATTTGAGATACCTGCTCTAAATGCAAGAGGCTCTTCACCCAAAGGAGTGCTCAACTAACATGTTGGTTTCTGCCCACAAGCTCTTGGTAAGAGAGGCAATTTATCAAATTTCTGCTGGGTCCCCTCGCAGTTCTTAAATGGCAGATAAATGGACCAATATTGGGCATTTATCTTCTTAATCCTTGTGTGGTATTGCTTCATCTGAAACTTAAAAAATATATTTGAGTTGAGCTAGGGAGGCAAACAGTTGAATTTTTATGAATAAACATGTGACTGTAAGAAAGGAATGTAGAGCATGGGATAGTAACCTTTATATTATTAGTATGACTCTAACTGCTTATAACTGAAAATGAAGATGACGAAGTACATAGTTGAATGTAAGAGCACAAATAGATATCAGAGGATGCTGTTGAGCACTGGCACAAACAGAGGACACTGGTTTGCCAAGGTGAGCAACACTAGTACAAGGTTACATTTCCTGTCATGTGCTTGCCAGGCTGAAGCCCTTAGGCTAGTGCTCTAGAATTTGTATTGTTTTCTTTCTTAAGCAAAGTGAAGTGAAAATTTTGAGTGAACAAAACAGGAAAGTACATTGTGCAAATACACCAACCCATTGGTTATGACTGTGAAATATTTTGGAGCATGGGCTTGCCCATTTTCTCCATGATCAGGAGGAAACAGTTGTGTTCTCTGAACATCCTGCTTTGCTGATGCTGGAGCATTGAAGGTGCAGCTGCTTGAAAGTTTATCATGGCATTACTGATGCCATGCCTCAGAGGGCTCTGGAAAGCTACACTCGGAAAGAAAGGACTGTGTTCACAGTTGAGAGTGCAGATGGGTCTAGCTCCAGGGAAACACCAGCACAACTGCATCTTGCCTGTGCCACTTCTGTCACTAAAATGCATTCAGAATCACAGAGGTGCAAAGGCTTATACACACTCATGTGTTGTGAAAAGCCTTTGGGAAAAATTGCCTTGCTAGAAGAATGAAGACTAGCGTATAACATTTGTGCTGCAGCACTG